AGCTTTTAAATAATATATATTTTATTTAAATTGAATTACTAGTTATTAAAATATTAATAACAAATAATTTTTAAAATCCTAATAGTTTTTTATATATAAATAAAATCTCAGTTATAATTAAATATTTTTAATAAATAACTCAATAAAAATATATGTAGTACTAGTATTCTTTATCTGAAAATAATAATAATAATAATAATTGAAAATAAGTTTTTAATAAATTCATTAAATTCAAAGTTATTAACATTGACATTTTAATTAAATACTATAATTTTATATTGTTTTTTTAAAATTTATTGCCTAGTTTATATATATACAGTATTTGCAAAGCAATATTTTCCAATAATCAAAACCTTTTTAATATTTTTTTAATATAATTATTTCAAAATAAATATTAAATATTTGTGTTTTTGATTAAGACCTAATTTAATATTTCTAATAAATATATTTTTATTTGAAGTGCTTACATTGCTTGTCAAGAATTTTCTTTAATTTAATCTTTGCATAATAGATTTTTTTCTTTTTATTTATTTCTTTTAATAAAATGATTATTTTTTTTTAATTTTTTGAGCTTTACAATAGTTTATTATTGATATTATCTTGCTTAAACATATTTATTTATGTTTTATAAAGAATATTGAATCATCAACAATGGTATAATAATAATAATTCAAACATTAATTACTATCAATAATAGTTGAACAATTACTATTATTAAGAATAAATAATCAATAGAACAAATAGATTTAAGTATTAATATTGTATTGTTCACACACTGCTCAGAACGGATAACAATATAACTTGCGCATGTACTACAGCAGCTATTGATTACATAGTTTCTTTTCCCTATAGAAACTTTCACTTCTAAATTTGTGGTGTTGCTATAGTATAAGTGCAAATAAGTGGTATGGATTTCTACCGCTTGATTTATAATGTTATCCTGCGTTTAATTCACTTGTTTTTAGAATCTCACATACTCGTGCAATATGAATGGACTAAGAAATATTACATCAAATTTCGCAATTGAAAAAGCAGTAATATTCAAAGGTCATTTAAAAATTAAAACTGCTAGTTACTATCGCCATTCACCTAACACCTAATTCTGGCATAAACCGCCATCACGTGATAAAACACTACTGATTTTTCAGATACAGTACATTATAAATCACATTCAAACTGGAATGCCTTCTAATGCCTTTCCCTCCAATACCAAATCAAAAATTACATTGCAAAAAAGGGCAAAATAACCTCGGAAAATGACATTCTCTGGAACCTCGGGTTCGGTAAAATACTTGATGAATCGGGAAGTGTAAATTCCCAAGAAGACTAACCAAGTGGTGACAAAATAACTGTTAATCGGTTCATCAATCATTATCCAAATTATTTGAAGCAAGACGGGGGGTAAAAAACAAACAATGACTATAGATAGTAGAAATCTTCCAAGCTTTTTAACTGTTTCATCCTTGTCACAATATGTTAATATCAATACCAACAGTAAAGTGGAATAAAATATACAAAAAAAAAAAAGATTTAACGAAAAACCCCAAAAGAAGATGGTTTCAGGGACGTCTAAATCATCTCCCGAGAAACCTATCCTAATAAACCAATAAATCACAATTGGAAGGGACAAGATGGATGTGAGTAAAAAGAGAAATATAATGCGACAACCCTTTGCTATAATTTCAAGTAAAAAACCACAACAATAATTGCACATTTTCGCCCAACAGTCGGCATCCTTGTCAAGAGATTGAATTTTACAATCGCAACAGGAAAGAACAAAGAAACCCAAAAATGTACATGCCACGGATGCATACATCATAGATGTGGAAAATTTAATTAATGATGTATCATCATAAACGTGCGCAACGAACAAGGGAATTACCCAGGTCATGATATGATGCATTAGCTCATCAAAAATTGGCATAAAAACCCTGTTGCCAAAATCCTTAGTAAATAAAAAGTAACTAATGAACGGTATGATTATAACAAGAAGGTTTCCATATACATCCGACAAAGATGTATAAGTAGGATCAATAAGAGATGATAGTGATGCGAAAGCCGATGGCAATATTGCCAAAAATATGGTGAAAAAGGCAACAGTCATTTATTCGGAAGAAATAGTTGATAACGATTAAAATTTTTTCTTTATAATAAACAGCCGTCTGAACAATTGTGAAAAAAAATGTATTCGATCATTATTTCTTTACTGCCGTACAAGGCTGAAATCGCTAAACACAGCCAACAGGTCTTGGCCAGTTTTTTTGAGTCAATGAAAAGTGCTTGACAACTTCACCAACTTCCCACTTACACTTTAACGCCTATCCGCTTTATACCTACTGT